GGCTTAGGCAGAGGAGGTGGCATCCACTAATAGCATTTGGCCAGTTGCACAGCTAGGAACAGTCCAGGGTGCTGTGGGGCCCCTGAGGGGGCAGGCACACTGGGATCTGGACCAATAAGGGGGAGCCACCGCCACAGCATCAGCGGAAGTAGCCACGAGAGATGGTAGGGACTTCCCAAGGGAGCAGCACCAGGACAGCCCTGCAAGGCTGGCTGTCCCTTGTGTCCTGAGAGTGGGTCCTGGCAGCATCTGACATTTAACTCTCCAGCCCGAGCACTGGAACAGGAACTGCTGGTGCCCAGGCTGCGAGCTTTATCAGTAAGTTATTAACGAATAAAAGCGGACATGTGGACATTGCAGTAAAGCATATCAGAGAGGTGTTAAAATTCTTCAGAAAGCTTAGAATTTTCAGTTTTGAAAATTGCTGCAACATTGTAAAGAAAATATCTGCAGGCTTCGAAATAGAAATTAAATTTAAAGATCATCACATTCAATAGAAAAGACTATTTTTATATGAAGCTTCAGATGAACTAATTAATGAAGAAGACAATTTTAAAATTAAATTTTTCCTTAGAATCCTATAGGTACAGTGATTGAATGCTTAAACAGATGTTTTGAACAATGTAGAAGTTATAAAGCCACTTTCAGCTTCTTGTTCAACCTCCACAAGTTGCAGGAGGTATCAGAGGAAACATTAAAATACATTGTATATATTTGCATTTAAAATTAAATTCAAATTTACATGAAACTGATTTATATGAAGGGTTAAGTCTTTTTAGAGAAATTGTTTTATAAGATTCATCAGCTTAGTATATTAAAATTTATATTTTGAAATAATTTATAGGACATTTATCTCAATGCTGTCACAGCCTGTGAAATACTCTTAACAACTCCAGTAACAGTTGCATCAGCAGAAAGATGAGAAAGCTCAAAATTAAAAATTATCAAAAATTATTTGTACATTACATCCCCATGACTTACTTGTTTTATAACTGGAAGTTTGTACCCTTTGACCACCTCTGCCCACCATGGTGACTGTAGTTAGTAATATTGTATTGTATATTTCAAAGATGATAGATCCTACACTGCTAAGAGAGTAGATCCTAAGTCACCATCACAAGAAGGAAAACTTCTGAAAGAAGAGTTATTTGTGATCTTGCATTTGCTAAGTTTTCAGTTATATTAATTGAAAATGAAATTGCTAAAAATATAAAATTCGATGATCTTGTAAATGAATACGTAGAAAAACAAGTCAGGAAAATTATGTGATCCATCAAGATATATTACTAAAGTTTTATTTTTTAGTTTTATAAAATATAATACCGACTTCTTTTCAGTTTGAAAGTTTATCATTACTCATGTAATACTATTATTCATGTAATTGTAAGTAATTACTATATTATAGGTGCCAAATGTTTTTAAAGGAAAAAGCTTTATATTTTAATATCTTTGATAGCACTTTTTCCTTTTCGAACAAGGGGCCCTGCATTTTTGTAATGTATTTGGCCTCACCAATATTGTAACTAGCTCGACCAAAAAATCCCAAGGTCTGCCCAGGATCTGCTTCCTCCTTGTAAACAAAAAGACCCTTAACTTATGACTTTTTATAATCTTCTCATATTCTCCCCTTTGCTCACTGTGCTTCAGGTTGCAGCACTCCAAAAATCTTCAGCCTTAGGGCATCTGGCTATTTCCTCTGCCTGGAATGCTCTTCCCCCAGATAGGCACATAGCTCACACTGTCACCTGTTTAAACCCTCTGCTCAATGGCATCTTCTTAATGAGGCATGCCCTAACCACCCTAGTGAAAACTGCAGCCCACTCCCTCCCCAACTACTACTGACCCCCCTACTTAGTCTACATTTTTTTTTCCATAGCACTTTCCACCATCTGACATATATAATTTACCCATGTACTATGGCTGTTGTACATTATCTGTCTCCTCTGCTTGAATGTCAGCTTCACAAGGAATGGGGTCTTTTTCTATTCTGTTCACCGATGATTCCCAAGCCCCTATAACAGTGCGGCCCATAGTAGCTACCCAGTGAATATTTGTAAAATGAATGAAGTCTGAAATTATTAGATAAACATGCAGTTGCTGTGAAAGCCAGAATTATTCATGTAACTGCAATGTATTTTTCTTTGTTGTGCAGTAGGCAAATTAGATTCTTGATTCCTCAAATTGTTTACAGCTAATGCTTTTGTATTTCCATCCATTTTAATTAATGAAAATTCCTATTATGGAGCATACACTGAATGCATGCTAATTAAATTGTGTTGTTCATATAATTGTAGTCATAAAAGACTTTCAGAACACTAAAAACTTTGTTATAAAAGCTTAAACAGTTGAAATAAAAAGAAAACCCCAGTGGCTGAATTCTTTATTTGCTTGTTAAGAATATTTCTTCTCTTATGAGACGCTGTTTTGCCTCAATGTAAATGATGAAAGTAGTACAGTACGTTTTCACTTAGGAGTGTCTGTATTTTCAATCTTAATTTAGGTGCATAGCCAACTATGTTAGCAATTAGGAACTATTCTTTTTCACAGATAAAAATCTGGGGTTTGGTTACTAAAGAAAAAGGGGAGAAAGACTTTTGGGAGGCAATGAGAAGTCTGTGCCTCATGCTGTCTCCTAAAACACACACCAAGCATTGATCATGGAGCTGGAAGACCATGTGACCCAAGTTAGGAAAGCCTTAAAACCTCTGGATTTGTGCTAATTTGGTGCCTTTAAGAGCTCCCTTCCTTCTCTTGCCTAAGGTGTCAGACATGCTTTAAAGAGGTTCCTGGCTAATCTCAGAGCCCCACCGTATACTGACTTTCCCTGGGCATTATGTGTGTGTTGATCCGGGGCCGGGCTGCTATACGTACCGTACCATATATGACTATTGCTTTCTCATCTGCTGTTCCCTCACCACCACCATTCTTCCTTACGTGAATTGAGTTTATAGACGAGAGTTTATGACCATTATCCTTTTGATGCTGAAAGACTACTTCATGTCTATCCTAACTAGCTGGTGCATTATTGTATCCCTTTTTAAAGTGAGTTTTATATATATATATATATATATATATACACACACACACACATATATATATATACATATATATATATAATATAGCACACTCTTCTCTCATAAAAAAAATATTGAGTACAACTCTTCTGTTTCATCTCACATATTGCAAATCCTTTAAGGAACAGTAAGAGTACGATAGGGTTGTATATTAAGTAGCTTCCAGTAAATGCATTAAAGTGTAGGTATGCTAAAAATATCTCCCCTTAGAGATTACTTGACAAAATAAGTAATGAACAGAGGTGGAGCAATATCTCAGTGATAAAACCATCATTCTTCTTTGTTAGACACATATTTTATGTGAACTGTAAACATGTTCAAATATGTTTAAGGCCTCACTGTGATGAGTCATATATCATAACTTCAGTATATTGAAAAAACTGTTTGGCTATTTATCTGATGTTCTTAACTTCTGTAAGATTAGAAGATGAAAAAGCGAGTATGGAACTTCCTCAATAAAATTCTTTTTGAGCATGATTCTAAGTGACCTGTCACAGTGACCTTAAACTAAACCAAAGTCCACCATGTCCCCATATGGCCATCATGTCATGAAGAGAGTGGCAACCAGTTACTTTGGGGAAACTAGGTGGTTTTTCTTTTTTAAATGAGCATAGAAAGACTCATTTTCTTTAGTTTCAAGTTTGAGGGGTTTTGTTTGTTTTTTACTAAATTTACCACTTAAGCCTTTGTCTCCAGTTCAGTTCACCTCTTTCAGACATACATCTCCTAATTCACTTTCAGTTAGGGTTGCCAGATTTAGCAAATGAAAATGCAGGATACTCAGTTAAATTTGAATTTCAGATAAATAATGAATAAACTTTTAGTATAAGTATGTCCTAAATGTTGCATGGGTCATCCTTATAGTAAAAAATTATTCAGGGTTTATCTGAAATTTAAATTTAACTGGGCACCCTGTGTTTTATCTGGCAACCCTACCTCCAGCCCTTGTTGCTGTGACATTGTATGTTTTCTTCATTGACATTCACATCTCCATCAGTGGATTTTTTCTGACTGCATTTTCCCCTGCCTTTGGCTGTTTCCATCTGGATGGTGTTGTCTTCTCTGTTTGTTGCTTTATCAGATTAACACAGTCACCCACCTGTCCCTCCTCCTCCTGATTCTCCTGTGGATGACATGGCAGTGTTTATGCTTGAACTTTGAGGTTATTCTGAGTCCTCCTCTACCCTTGTCCTCTGCATTTAGTTAATAATCAGTCCTGTCCATTCTTCCTTCATTGTCCGTTTCTCCCTCCCTTCCTTCTCCTCTTTCCCTCCCCCTGGCTGTCTGTCTCTTTCTTGTCTGCACCTGTCTGTCCACTCCCCACACTATCCTCAGTTCAGGTCCCTGCTCACAAGTGGTCCCTGTGCTTCTGCTTTTCCAGCTGGCCTCCTGCTCTAGCCTGTTGCCACCCAGGTCATTTTGCAGTCCTGGTTCATCATTCTGAACTGTTGCACCCATCTTGTTTCTTCCCAGCTGAAAACCTTCAGTAACTTACCGTTGTGTACAGAATGAAGTTTAAGCCCCTAATTTGAGGCCTCACATGCAAGACTTAGCAGAACTGGCCTCTAAGAGAACTGCCAAGATGTCTCTTGTTGCATCATTACCTTATACTAATGTTTATCACCCTTTTGGATTCACTTGCTCTTTCACAATGATATAATACTGAAAACCCCTTTAGAGATGTTTTAAATTATGTAATCATTTGGCATATAGAGTAAAAGAAAGAATTATCTAAGTTTATATTACTATATTAGTAAATGTTACATTATAAAGTTTATTTCTAATAAAAACTTAATAAATACAAAGAAATGTTTTGACTTTTCCCCATTTGCCAAGTGATGCACAGTTTCTTGTGCTTTGAATTAATTAGATAATAAAAATGTGATTTACTACCAAATTTAAGATGAGACCTTGCATTATGTTTGACTTTGTGACCAAATATATTTGGAAATGTACATTATTATTAAACTATGATACAGCAGCATTTCATGACCTGATGTTTAATTCTTACATTTTACACTTAAAAATTACCTTTTCGTACTCTCAAAATTTTCATATCTTTCACAGAATGTTCAAAGTGATAAGAGAGTAGGTTTCCAGTTGCAGTTTCCAAGCATTTTCTACAATGAGTATATTTCAGAACTAGATGGTCTTTATTCACAATAAATAAAAAGTCAGATTGTGTACAGTTCTCCACCTCCCCTCGTGACTCTCCATTTGTTCTGTTGAGAAGCCCAGGGCTCAGGAGAGTATGCCCCAGACGTCTTTACCACACTTCTCTTATGGGTTTGTCTTGGTTACAAAATACTACAGCAACTTCTTGTTGGGCAATCTGAGAAAGGCTACGGCTAGTTTCTGTGATACTTCTTTTCTCCTAGATCATAATAAATTGAATAAATAAGGAATTCTTGGTGCCTGGTCTATATCAATCAAAATGAAAATAGGGGTATATTAATCCTGAACTGCAGTCGAGCTGAGCTAATCTTTACAACTGCTACCAATTGGTATGATGTAATTAATTGCAGCTAGTGTATATTTGTGGAAGTGAAGATGCTTAAAAGCATCAGGTGGTTTCAGTACATGGAAGTACTTGAGCTGGATCTCTTCGTTTGCCCCTGCAGACTTCTCATCTTCCCCTTTCCTGGTCTCTGTCCTGGTGGTTGGGCCTTGTGGGCTCATCTACCTGCTTCCTGACCTCTGGCTTCTGGGTGGTTTCAGCCAATGGAAAGCCAGCAGAAAATCAGAGGGGAAGGGACAGTGAGGTCAAACACCCCCTCCACCCAGCTCTCTCCCTGCAGGGTCACCTTGGATTGGCTGTTTTCTTCAGGCTGAAGATCAGTTACTTCTCAAGGCAGCCTGCTCTCTAATTCTCCTTCTGGATTCCAGTAACCTTTCTTCCCCATTGTACTTTTAAGACCTAGGGGTAATATCAAATCCACTACTAGTAGCCCTGGGTTTCAGCAGTATTCTTTGGGGCTCCCCTGTATGTCCTACATTTTTGTAAAAAGGCTCTCAATGAATAGAGTGTGCTGTCTGTCTCCTGTTGGGATCCTCATTGATACCATGCTTCACATGCTAACTTAATCCCTTCAGTTATACTGTGAAGTCTGTATAAATAATGCCATCGTTCTAAGGGAAAGGAAAGTGAAGCACGTAACCTGCAAAGGCCACAGGGCTCTGATGTGGTAGAGCCAGAATTCAGGTGTGCCTCCAGGCTACATAGTCCTAACCATCATGCCGTGTCCGGGTATGATGATATGAGTGACGTAGGATTTCATTGTTATTTGGGGAATATTCACAATAACAAAATATATTAACATTAATTATGTGGATGACAGATAAGGTTGATCAACCAAATTATCACCAGTGCTTTCAGCTAACCTAGTACTTTCATCTGAATACTTCAAAAGAGTGATTTTTTCCCCATGTTCCCCAGGAAAGATTGAAAGAATGATATTCTTTGAAGTTAAGGAATAAGAAGTTCAGATTTTACTTATTATCCTGAGCCTTGTTTGAAAAAAAAATCTTTGCCAACAACTAAGTATTCTCTTTAAAATATGAACTCATCAAAGGCTCAAATTTAGCTTCTTTCTTTTCTTAAGAGCCTGACATTCAGAGTTGGTATTCATTTCTCACAGTGCCCTAGTTCTTACATAATTTCGGTCCTGTCAGTTCGTTCCCAGAACTGACGTAGTCATCACTTGTTGTCTTTGTGTTGGGGGATGTCTTCTTTTGCCCGGCCCCTCACGTCCACCACTCATTATTCATTGTTCATTGTCCTCCATGTTCTTCTGTGGTGGAACCTGTCACATTTTCCATCCTCTTGGCCTTGCATTGTGGGGCTGCTATTGAACGCAGCTGCAGTGTGTTGTTTCTGGACTCCAGGTACCCTTGGTTGCTACAGTGTGCCGCTTCTGGATGACTTATTTGGCAGTTACAATTTTTTCCAACACAGCAGCTTTCTAAAGCTTCATTTCTTCATGCTGAAATACTGAAAATAAAGAAACAGCCCTGTAACAATCCCTTTGGGATCCTTGGATCATTAAAACTTCATAGAGGGATAGCCTATAATTTTTTTGTGTGTGTGGTCTCAGGTCTACACAAACTTTAAAAATGCAGATTTTTAGGGGCTCAAAGAAGAAAAACATACATTTATGATTCAGGTGTTCTTGTTGTTAAAAATAGTACATTTGAATGAGTGGCTGTTTATAGTTTGGGTTTTGGGTGGTTATTCTGTAGTGAAGGTCCTGTTCTTGACAAATGTGCTTCCCAGTCATTTTTTCTAACGTGGGCGGTTGGGTCATGGGAGAAGGCCAGAGTTTCTTGGCAGTTCTCTCTCCTCGTTGCCTGGAACCCCGTACTATATTATCTTGGGCTTAAACGGCCAAACTAGGGAATCTGACCAGAAGATTCCAATCTGTGAGCACAAGCAATCATTTATTTTTTTCTCAAACTGCTTACCTTGGTGTTGTATTTATTAAGAATTAAGATTTATTCTGAAATAAACTGTAGCTTTAAGACTGTGAAAGAAAGCTGCTGCTGAGAAGGTTTCAGTTTTGCCACATGATTGGTGTAAATACTAGCAGCTTTTTGGTTCAATGTTTTTGCTTCGAGAGAGTATCTAAGTGCATTTTTGAAGATTTGCTCAAATAAATGAGGAGATTCTGGTTGCACCTACTTTGGGCAAACTGCCAAAAAAAAAAAAAAAACCAATGGGGTGGTATCTTTTCTTTAAAAAAAATTACCATTTTATGTGCATTTGAGATCTAGACAGACCTATTAAGCTAAACACCTTCTGAATACAATTTACTCTATTGTCCTGGCAAAGACTTAAGAGGAAGATGTCATGTGGAGCTATTTTGTTTATTTTCATCAAAAGGCCCTTTCATCTGCCATCCAAATAAGGGATATTTAGATTCAGTGATGTTTCAAACACCCCAGTCCTCATTATAAAAGAAAACAAAATTTAAAAAAAGTCATTAAATTCGGTTAAAACAAAAATAAACTTATGCAGCAGATTTTGCATCATATTCATTATAAACTTCAATATTTGTGAATTTTAGTAGCAACAAAGGACAAGTAAGTACTGAGGTTGCCCGACCAGAGGAGAATAGGAGTGGAAGTTTCTCTGGGGGTTTGGAAAGTTGAAGTTGCTGTAGCCATTCAGCCACTGTAACTACCATCATGTGGGGCTGGACCCATGGCCAGGAAACGCCATTAATTCTTCCACCTCTTTTCCCCATTATGTACCCAGGAAAGTCCTTTCTCTTGTTAAACCTAATCATCCACCTACTCCCCGCCCACACTTAGGCCACTGAATATTGCTAGAGTAAAACATTAATTGTGTTTCTTGGTCTTACTCTAAACTCATGCCCAACATGCTTCAAATAGAGATGCAGCATAGCCTTACAGTCCAAACACACTTTCCTGGTGTTTGCTTTCTCACTCTTGGGGATGACTATTTCCCAATTTAATTCTTCTCAAACTTCCTATATTCCTTTCCCTTTCCCTTACTCTAAGCTGCTTCGTACTTCACTGAATAAATAGACCAATCAGACAAGTCCTACCTCATTCTCCCGCCACCAAATCTGCCAGCCTGCTTCTGTACCTAATTCTGTGGACACTTCCTCTTTCGGTAGTTAGAGCGCCCCTGTCCTCCACTTGTTTTCCGAGGCCTTTTCTTGCTTTCTCACATATGTTGCACTACAGTTTTCTTCTTTCTGCAATGTCACTGACTTTTCATATCTGAGGGGTTGTTCTCATCAGTATGTTCTAGTATCTCCTATCATAAAATTAAACAATGCACTTCATTTACCCATATCTCTTTCAGCGATTTCCCATTTCTATACTCCCTTTTCCCAGCAAAACTACCTGAAAAGAATTGTCTGTCTTTCTGTCTACACTTCTGTTTCTCTTCATTTCTTGACCCTCTCCAATTGGGCTTCTGTCTTCTCTGCCCTCCTGAGACTGCTCTTGTTGAGGTCTTTAGTGACCTCCATGTTGTCCAAAGCAATGGCCACACATCCATTCTTGTGTTACTTGATCTTTAAGCAACATTTGACAGGGCTAACTTCTTCTTCTTTGAAATACTCTTTTACTGCTGGTTTTCCTAGCATCACACAGTGGTGACTCTAGAGGTGTCCCACTCAGATGTCCCTTCATGAAAATATGCTTCAGGGTTATAGCTGAATGACAGCCTTCAGCTGTCATACCCTTAGATCCAACATACTGGAAACAGAGCTCAGGCTTCCTTGGAGTGTTCCCGGCCAATAACTGAGCATGAAGAGGGTACCAGATGGGACAGTCTTGCACTACATGAGATTGTTCTAATAGTTACATTGGATCAGTAAGTCCCCATTGGCCAGGCTGCATCTTTCTTAGAACTGAACTGTGGTCTGAAACTCTATTCAATCTTTCCCCTCTCCTCCTCTTTGATAGATGTCAGCCCTGCAAAACTTCTGAAAGTCTCTTCACCTACTATTTCTGATGCCTCCTCCTTTATATACCTCTTGTATGTCTAATCCCAGCATGGTGTCCCTTTGTAGAGGATCCAGGTGGACTCATACACCATCCTATTCCTGTACTCCCTCGTTTTCTTTGTCTCCTCTTCTCCATGAGCCCTTAACCCTGGTGGCTTCATCCTTCGACAGACTTTGTGATCTCATTCAGTCCCATGGTTTTAACTATGATCTTTGTGTCATTGACTATCAAATCTCTATCTCTAGCTCTGATCTCTCCCAGAACTCGACTCTATATCTAATCATGTTCTTGACATCTCCACTTGGATGTATAATCGTCACCTAAAAGGTAACATATTTTCAGGAACTCTTGATCCTTATCCATAACTGCCCTTCTTCAATTGCCATCATTTCTGTAAATGTCTCCATTCTTTTTTTTTAATTATTTTTATTTATTTTGTTTGTTTGTAGGGTTTTGGGGAGGAGGTAATTAGGTTTATTTCTTTATTTAATGGAGGTGCTGGGGATTGAACCCAGGACCTCCTACATGCTAGGCACACACTCTACCACTGAGCTATACCCTCCCCACTGCTCCAGTCAGTCTTGATTGCTCTTTTCTTCATCTCTCATTAGCAGTTCCTATCGACTGAATTCTTAAGTATTTCCCAGATTGATCCATTTCTTCTCCAGTTTCACAATTGTCACCCTAATCAGTGTTGTAGCACCTTCCAATCCACTGGTCTCTTGCCCACTCATGGTCCATTCACCATTTAGTAGCCAAATGAGCCTTTAAAAAGGTAGGTTAGATCTAATCATTCCCCTGGTTACAGTACTACAAAGGCTCTTCGTTGAATTTGAAATAAAGCCCGATTGCCCCTGATGATGTTGACAAAACCCTAGGTAATTGGCCTCTCCTGATCTCTCATTCTCACCTCTTCCTTCCTCTTGCCACAATCACAGTGGCCTTCTTTCTGTTCCTAGAATAAGAAGAGGTTATTCTTGCCTTTGAGCCTTATCCCTGAGTGTTCTTCCTTCTTGTCACTCAGATCTCAGCTTAACTGTTACCTCCTCAGAGAGCCTCTCTCTGACCTCCCTATCTGAAGCAAGGTATCCTAGTTACATTCTAATGCATCACCCTATTTTCATTCTCTTCATAGCATTTACATTTTCCTATCTTTTTCTTTTTTATTTGTTGTCTGTCTCCCCTCAACTAGAATGTAAGCCTCATGAGAAGAGTGTCCTTTTCTGTCTTGGTTATTGCTGCATTCTCAGCACCTCCATGAATACCTAGTATGTAGTAAGCATTCCTCTATATCTGTGAAATGCTTCCATTGACAGAACTCATTATTTCTCCTCCATGAACATTTTTCCTTGAAAGAAAAAAACATTGATTTTCCTAACTCTGCACTTCTGAACTTGTAGCTCTTATTATGTTCACCATTCCCTAAGATGTACTTTTCCTTAAATTTATATATAATGCCAGTAGAGTTAAAAATCCCACTGTAGTGAATTCCATGGGGTGTGCTGTTGGCTTTGTGTCAGTAGAATTTGTCACAAAGCAAGAAATTACATTTCCAGTCTACAGAAACTAGGGGTGAAACAGCTGATTTTCCATTTCTCTATAGAATTTGGAAGGGAAAAACTCTTGACTCCAAAATGGGAGGTGAGTGAGTTCTAGCAAATCTCCTGCCTCTGTTGCCCAGGCTCCCTGCTACTCTACATGGAATGTTGGCTTTGGAGTTGTTTTTGTTGTTGTTGTTTTGCTGAATGGTTTGAGTACTGAAAGAAGGGGTAGCTGAGGAAGAGAGAAAAATGATGAAAAGACAATTACTATTTCGTGACAAGAAAAGATTCTAGGGTAATTTTTTAAAAAGTTGAGCTAAACAGTGTTCTCTCTTACTTTTTATAGCATAAAAAGGTACATCATCAGGTGGTTTTTACACATAAAATATGCATGAATAAGGGCCAGAAAATGAAATAAGACAAAACAGAACACAGTTCCTAGTATGAAGTATTTGGTGCTGACAGTTTGTTGTAAACAGAGCAATGAAGGGTTTTGTTTTTGTTTTTAATTGTATATTATTCTGAAATGTAGAAACAGCTTTGATAAAAAGATCTTTCTTTCATTGTAGTGGTAATTGTGTTCAAATCGGGTTGTCAAATTTTTGTTTTAATGGCTCAAATGTTATGAGCCGTATAAATATTATGTAATATAAAAATGTCCTCCTCACACCAGTCAGAATGGCCATCATTAAAAAGTCTACAAATAATAAGTGCTGGAGAGAGTGTGGAGAAAAGGGACCCCTCCTACACTGTTGGTGGGAGTGTAAATTGGTGCAGCTACTAAGGAGAACAGTATGGAGGTTCCTTAAAAAACTAACAATAGAGTTACCTTATGGTCCAGCAATCCCACTTCTGGGCATTTATCCAGAGTATACTTTAATTCAAAAAGATACATGCAACTCAGTGTTCACAGCAGCACTATTTACAATAGCCAAGACATAGAAGCAACCTAAATGTCCATTGACAGATG